CGATTCTAAAACTTTGCTGCATTCCCTTCTAATTTATACTTTCAAATCAATGACACCCCCTTAACGGTAGTTTTTGCTTATGTCAATAGATAAAATAATGATTTGATTAAATATTTTGTAAAAATATCAAAATTACCTTTTGTTATGTAAATAAACTAAAATGCCCTCAATTTTTTTTCCCATTATATATGTTCTAGTCGGCCAGCAAGCGTGATCTCTATCATTATATCATTAAAGTGTTGCCTGATAACTTTGTTATAATAGTAGTCATCATATTATCACTTATTTGGTTACATAATTAAGTTTTTATAATTGTTACAGTTAAACAAATTTATAATAAAAATTACAATTGATAAAGTCAATGTCAAAATTTCAGCCATTTTTATCATCTGCTATCATCTGTCACCCGACCACTCTTCACACATCACCTTTCATATATAAACTTTAAAAATTATTTGATAAAATTTAATATTAGTTGAATAAACTTGGTCTTAATTTGATAAACTTAAATATTAATTTACAGTTAATTTGATGGAATTAAATATTAATTTAGTGTTGATTTGATAGAATTTAATGTTAATTGAATAAATTTGAATGTTGTTTTAATAAAATTGAATGTTCATTTGGTGTTAAATTAAAAAAAATAAAATTAATTTGATAAGGTTAAATGTTAAATTAATATAATTTAATATTTTATTTAATATATTAAATTTTAATTGTATAAAATTGAATGTCAATTTAGTGTTGATTTGATGAAATTAAATAGTAATTTAATATTAAATTAAAGAAATAATATTAATTTGATGAAATGAAATATTAAATTAATCTATACTACTATAAACTGTCAACAAAAGTGAAAATTTTTTGTTTGACCATAATGCCCCTATAAAAATGATTAAAGACAACTATATCATTGTCTATTTAATTAACCAATACCAATTAAATATTCAAACAACCTTTAATAAATACTATTTATGAAAGTATATTAAGATGAAAAATTTTAAAATTTTAATTTACCCTTAATAAAATCTGTGTAGATAATTCATTTGGCTGGTCTGTTTATTTTTCTCATTAACTAATTTATTTATCTTCCTCATAAATTTTACTCTTTCACTTTCTCTAACTGTTTCATTTTGCCTCTTCATTGTCTCTTACCCAATGTGAAATCGTGTTTGATGTCATCTTTTATCAACACCACCTCTCGAGTTCCTTCTCTCCAGATGGTTCCCCTTTCTTCTCCATTTCTCTCTTTTTTTTTTCTTTTTTTTATTACCATGTCTCTCTAGAGTGCTCCATGGCTACCAATTGTTTCTTTCCAAACAAATATCTTCTAAATTGTTGTTGATAAGAGATGGGTATTGAGAAGCTTCCTCACTGCCTCAAAACATAGTTTTCCAGATTGTTTCGGTTGGCCAACACTTGAAGTAGGCAAAAGAAGTCTGTGGGACTTTCTGCTACCATGGCAGGAAGCTTGCTGGGTAATAATAAATTATCCTGATAATTTTTTTTATTACAAATTCTATGATAATTATACTAAAAAATTGATGATTACTTTGTTGATATTAGAGACTCCAACCCTTGTTTTGTAGAACCGACATAATTCTTCCTTCAAATGTTCATGTTGACATGGCTGCTATGAGTGCTCAGTTACTGCTGAATCTAATTTTTCACTTGCGCAGATGTTTAGCTAATTCATTCTAATTGCGACCTCTATTTATGTAATTAGGACTTCTGATTAGATATTGAAGGAATTTAGAGGACGAAAAGGAATAATTGATTTGCAACAAATTCAATGTCTTATCAGAAAGCAAATAATAAAAATGTTCCAATTAAATTAAGAGGCATTACTGTTGAAGAATTTCCTACCATATATACTAATATGAGATTGATTTTGGGGGAAAAAATGATACACATACATTTAAATTGGTCATATGTAAGCACAATTTTGATACTAGAGTGTTTATATTTGTTTAGGTAAAGAGGAGTAGATTGAACATGGTACTCAAAATTGAAACCGTTGGTGGATTTGACAAAATTTACTGAATTTGCAATCAAACTTCTTTGAGTTGTTCGAATTGAGTTTCAAGAATGGAAGAAGAATAGAAGAAGAAAAAAAATAAAAGAAAGAACACTACAAGAATTAGTCTTTTGAGAAAATTTTTTTTGCAACGGTGTTGTCCACCATCACAAAAAGCGTGTTTTAAAGAAATTATTTTTTGTAGAGATAGTGCTATCATGAAAACTTTATTTGCTTTCATAAATACTATTTAAAACACGTTGTTGCCACCACGTCAAAAAAAGAAGAATAAAACGTCGATCTTTGTTGCTCAAAATTGTACCATCAACAATTGACAATTGAAGCCACATTATTAAATTCCCAGATTAGGTCCCCAAATAACATTGGAAAAAGCATGTGTCATGTGTGAATCTCGATAGACATCAAACAATGGCATTAAAGGTGTTAAGTTTAAATTTATTTCTGAATTAGAGTAATTAAGAATTGTAATGTTGTGTTTGTGGAATTAATCAATTGGTTAAAACATGTGTCTCATAATGAAGATTTCAAAAGATAGTGCATCATGGCCTTTTTGAAATTATGAACAACAATTTTCAACTAGCTTGACATTGAGTGACAATGGAATTTGCTCATCTTATATGTCATCATTGTTTCCCTTTACAGTTGCTTTGTTTAAACCGGCCACTTCGTAGTTATGTCAATCATCTCTTGGTTTCTCTTATTTACTCGAGGGATAGCATGCATGGTAATGAAATGACAGGCCAATAACCTAAGAAATCCAAATTTTTTTTTTTTTGTTATACGGTGAAATCTCATGGTCTGTCTTTAGCAAGTAAAGGTGAACTTATATCACTCAAGCTCGTGATTCTGAGTAAAATCAAGGGCAAAGTTGGGTGTATGGATCAGTCCCTCAACTCATACAACATTTAAATCAGGACAAGCGTTTCATCGGGGATTCAAGACTCACATCAGAAACTTGGATATTGTTCGTCCAAATAACTGAGGTCTTATCCTACCAAACAACCGAGATCTTGTCCTACCAAACAACCACGCTTTGCGTCCAGGAAACTTCGAACACTTGACCTCCCACTGGGAAGTCAGAGGCTCTAGCCAACTGAGTTAGCCCAGTTGGTTGAAATACAAATTTTTGTTTTCAGGAAAAGGTAATGAAAACCTGATTTAATGGAGGACTAGGTTAGTATTGTGATAAACAATTGTGTGGATGTACTCGATTCTTTCTTCATTGCTTTTTCATTTTACCTCTTTTTTTTGTGCTCGAATCAATAATTATCTTTGTGGCTAATCCTAGAAGAGGAACTTGAAAAGTCATTGAAGGAAAAAAATCTATATATTCAGAAAGAGGTTCGAAATATTGGTGATTGAATTAGTTCGATTGAATTAGGTTATCTAATGTCAAATGTAGGTATTAGTTTAGCAACTATATGTACTATTATGCATGTCAATGAATTATTAATTAAATTAGTCACTGTTCTAAATGTGTTCTAGCATTAATTGTGGAATTTTGGCAAAGAATGTGCTTTGGGGCCATGGGAGTTGTATAATTGGTACTTAGGTGATAGCATGAAACTAAGAGGTAATTCTGTTCAAATAATAATAATAAGGGGTAATGTAACACAATCTATATTGAATTGATAAATATATTCTTTTTTCTCCATTTTTGGAATTCTCTAGGTGTTATCAAATGTTCCATGACCAAAACAAAATGGTTGCTTATGATTTCCAATACAAAATTAGCACTTTTTTCACCCATGTGTTTGATAACATGAAAACTAATATAGTTTTTTTTTTATCCTAATTTCAATTCAAAGATAATAACATCAACTTAACTCATGGCCAACACTGGCTTTAGGCCCCTTGAAAAAACAAGGCCCCAATTTTTTTAAATAGTATAGTTTAAGGTCCCAATTTTTGTAAATAGTATAGTTTATGTTAATATTGTATATTCGATAAGAGTCTAACTTTTAATAAAAATAGCCTTATAAAAGTCTATGTTCAGATAAAAAAAAATAATACTAAGCTCAAATGGTCAATTAATTGACACATTTGATCTAACAAAATTAAGCCATCATCATTATATTCCATTTTTTCAAAGAGAAATAATATAGAAACTTCAAATTCTGATCTACAATAAGGCAAGATGCATACTGTGATGCCTACCAACGAGATAACCAATCAATTCAATTATTCATTTACTTATTGCAGGTACTTCAACAGGGAAGCGATATGCGAGAACAGATGAACTTGGGGTTCCTTTTGCCATTACAGTGGATTCAACATCCTCGGTCACAGTCCGGGAAAGGGACAACAAGCAGCAAATTCGCGTGAATGTGGAAGAGGTGGCAGCTGAAATTAAGGAGGTGACTGATGGACTGAGCACTTGGGGTGATGTTCTGTGGAAGTACCCTACTCACTCATCGTGATAGCCGAGTGAGTGAATTTGAGAGGCTTTAGCTGGCTTATCAGCACTCCATTGGTAGCCAATAGTGTCAAGTTGAGTAATATTATGCATCAAGATGCTATAATTATTGTCCACAAAACTCAGGTTACACTTTCAGGTTTTTGTTGTTCAAATACTACTGGTACGATATTATATTAATAGTGCAACATGTTAACAGGATGCTACATCAGCCTGAAATGCAGTATCTCATATGTATCGTTTTTTATTACGAATTTAAAGTCGATCGAACGGAGTGGATGGAGGTAATAAACATGAATGGAACTTGGTCACCAAGTTCTGCAGGAATGGTAACGGGGACCTGAATCTCTTGGGAAATTTTAGGATCCAAACCAAATTAATCGAAGCATTTGTTGGGTCCCCTTTGGGTATGAATGTCAGTATGTCTAGTCTACAATGGCACCATTCAAAAACTAATGGATCAAGACAAGATACAGTTTAGAAAGGCTATTGACACCCCTCCCCCCACAGTCCCACACACACACACACGCACAAAAAGTGTCGGAGATGGAAGCTGCAGCGTTGCCATGTTCCGTAAGGCATAGCTGGTGGAGCTTGGTGGGGATGCTCCGGATAGACAGCGGGGGGATGCGTGATGAAAATGGTGTCGATGTCACGCCCTTGTTGAGCTGCTATAGCTACAAGCAATTATATGATACCAGTAGTGTCACGTAGTGTTACAGTATAGTAATAAGTGGGCAAATGAGTCCAAACAATTCAATAACCATCTATTCTGATGTATTTTATCTAATTCTTAATTTTTTTAGTTGACAGTTTTATCATGGGGTATTGTTGACAAGAAATAATGATATATAATTTACTCGACTATAAAAGGCTTGAAGTACGGGTGAAAGAGGAAACATCCAAATTAGAACAAAAGATAATTAACATAGAGAGATAAATGAAAGAACATTAAACCTTGAAGTAATATTTGTATTTGCAAAATTTTTATTAGGCGATGGAGAATCGTTAGATTAGAATTATGTCAAATTAGGTATAAGATGGCCTCATTAAACTCACATGAGTTCAAGTAAGTGCATTTCCTATCCTTACTCAAATTTAACTTTGAGTAAAAATAATAAAAAAATATTTTTTAGTCTTTTTCTCAAACTCATATCAAATGAAAGGAGATTTAGATCTCTAATTGTTATATTTTACCTTTATTTAAATTTGAGTTTGTTCTACTTTAAATTTGAGTTTTTTCATTTAAATTTTTGTATCAAATAAAACTTTTAATTGGCCCTATCAAGAATAAAGGCCCGTGCAACACTCGACGTTAACATTCTTCAATCTAAAAATGCTAACCACAATTTCAATGATAATAGGAATACGTTTGACCATGAAACCATACAAAGAGAGTGAAACTCTCATTACTTAGATTTAGGGCGATAGGTTACACCCCTAAATTGATAGGTCAAAAGGCAAAAATATAATTGCAATTTCATCTCTAATCTTTAAGAAAATTGGGGTGTTTTTCGCATAATGAAAATTTTAAGGGTTAATCTCATTTTGTACCCCGAAAGATTGTTCGAATCTCAATTTACACCCTCAAATATTAAAAATCTCAATTTACACCCTCAAAGATAGAAATTTGTATCAATGTGCACCCCCAAAGATCAAAAATCTCAATTTGTACCCTCAAAGATAGAAATTTATATCAATGTGCATCCCCAAAGATAAAAAATCTCAATTTGCACCTTCAAATATAAAATTTATATCAATGTGCACCTAAAATTAAATTAATAAATTATATCTTGATCCCCTCATGTTTGTCACTTAATCATTTGAACTCTTTCACATTTAGAATATTCCCCTTACATCTCATGACGTTTATACATATGTAACACATAACCACTTTTCGTTGATATATATTAATATAATCGTTAAAAAATATGATTTTATCATAATATAAAATTATAATTTTGTATTACCTTTTATTTTGTGGATTCGATATACTCTAAAGTTGAAAATCAAGCTTACCATTTGAATGTCTAATAAAATGTAGATATTTATATAAAAGGTAATATGTAAAATATTATATAAATATTTATATTTTATTAGACATTCAAATGATAAACTAAATTTTGAACTTTATAGTATATTGAACCTATAAAATAAAGGGTAATATGAAATTATAATTTTTTATTAGGATAAAATTATATTTTTTAACGGTTATATTAATAGATATCAATGAAAATGGGTTACATGTTATATGTGCACAAATGTCATAAGATGTAGGAGTAATATTCTAAATGTGAAGATGTCTAAATGATTAACTGACAAATATGAGGGGATTTAGGTATAATTTATCAATTTAATTTTAGGTGCACATTGATACAAATTTCTATCTTTGAGGGTGCAAATTGAGATTTTTTATCTTTGGGGTACACATTGATATAAATTTCTATCTTTGACGGTGCAAATTGAGATTTTTGATCTTTGGGGGTGTACATTGATACAAATTTCTATCTTTGAGGGTATAAATTGAGATTCGAACAATCTTTTGGGGTGCAAAATGAGATTAACCCAAAATTTAACTAAAGAGCGAGATGGCATAAGTAAACATGTGTTCAGCTTGAACTCCCACCTAATTCAACAGCTTTTGGGATTAACCTCAATCCCAACACTGATGATATGGAAAAGGAAGATTGTACTGAGGACAATTTTGGAGGAGGAGAGGGAAAGGGAGACAACCCAAATAAAGTCCATACATGGCCCACTTAGGGGAGGCTGATCGGCCCAAAGCAGTTGCATCATGGAGAGGAGTATGAATTATCTCTGTTCTCTGATGTTGGAAGCTCCGGCTATGGCCGCTATGATCAGACTTGTCAAATGGCTCTCAGGGAATAAATGATGAGTTGCTGACCCAGTAGAGTACAAGGAAAAAAAATAAATAAATAAAGTAGAGTATAAGGAGAAAGATGATGAGACTTGCAGGGAAGAGGGTATCTTCCTCTTTGCCTCCATGGCTTCTGAACCATACTGCCAATTTCACCACCCAACATGCTCTCTCTTCCCCGTAAGAATCCCATTACTCGGATACCGGTTAGTAGCCTATCCTTTCTTTCCTCAAGTTTCATTATTTCTCTTTTTCTTAGTTTTCCTTGTTTCAATTGATTCCAATGGTTTTCCAGTGACTGTTATTAATACTCTCATACACGCTTTTGTGCATCTGACCCTTAATTCAAATGCCATAAATCTTTTCAATGGTGTAAATATTAGTTTAGGACTGTTGGTCATGCCCTCCTTGGCACCCTTGGTATTTTATTTTCAGTTGGGTTCTTCGCTTTGCATCTTTTATTTCCTGATGAAGAACTTAATTTCAGGGTTGGCCCAATAATGTAACCAAAAAAGTGATGGTTTTAGGCCCAACTACAAAGATGGCCCCATATTTTTCAGAGAAAATTTGGAGGCCGGTCCCTTAGATAGACTTGTTTGGACATAAATCATGCGAGAAAACTTATTTGGTTTGTAGTCCACTTTTTACTTCTTTTACTTGTATACTCTTATTTTGTGGAAAACCTCAAACGGCGTTAAACTTGCCGTTTGGTTTTCAAACTGAATTTCCCCTTCATTTCCAAACTAAACTTCCCCTTCATTCCTTTCGGCAACCCAATAACTTCCCCCTACATTCCAGGCGATGAATCCGGCCATAAACTGCAAATCTTTCTCATTAGCCTTCTCCGAAAAACCCAAGAACTCAAAATTTACCCAAAATTGAATCTATTTCAAATTTCAAACTTGTTTAAAACAAGAAAACCGAAAATCGGTTTTATTGTTCAAGATTCATTGGCGAAAATCTATAGTTAATCTTGACATTCTTGAAATCATCAAAAATATTTGGGATTCTTTAAAAATTTTAGAGGTATGCGATTTTACATAAACTTTGAAGTTTGTTTTAGGGTTTTAAAACATCATTTAGACCCTATATCGTTCGTAATGTCTAATTTTTTTTTAAAAAAAATTTTTGAAAATAAATTGTGAGTTCTTGTTACTATATAAAATAGTTGGGTATTGTGATTTTTTTTGTCCATTGTGTTATACATTTGGAATTGATTGACGTGATTTCTTTGGAATGTCTAATGTTACTGTGAGAGCAATATTCAAAATTTATTATCTTAATGTTGAACTCTTGATGTTATTGATATGTATTGAGTATCCTAATTAAACCATTAATATTGTGTTACCATTAGTCCATAAAAAATAACATCAATTGTTTTTTACTATATTTTTTTGAAATTCGATGTTGCTATGCTTAATATGGCATTGGGGATGAAGCTGTTCATGTGATCATGTTCATGTGATTATTCTGTAATTATAGATACCATATGATTATTTAGAACTAATTTATTTATTATGTGTTATAAATATGACAACTAGAAAATAATCATCTAGATATGAAATTTTTTTCAAAAATATGAGAAAATTTTAAAATAATTGAATATCAAAATGATCTCTTTATCAAACAATTAAAAAAAGGACTCATCTACAATTATCGCTTTAGGCCTCAAGCTTTCTTGAGCCGCCTTGCTTAATGTGATAATGGGAATTGTAAGTTATTGTTCATATATGGATATGACTGTTTTTTTGTCTGTGCTATTAGTATTTTCTAATTACATGCTCAGCTTTATTGAATTTTTGAAGGAATGTAGTCTGTTTTCACGTGTTGAAGATAATCTAGGTGATGAAAGCAACCGTGTCTAGCATTTTTGTCCTATCATAGTGCTGTTTTTCATGTAATGGTCTACTTTGTTGTGCTTGAAGAAAATTAAAATGCTGTTGAGTTCTTTCTTGGTCCATCAAAGACTGCAAAACATGTAGTCATTGAATATTAGCTTCTTATTTCTTTGCAAGTAGTTGGTGAATAGCATAGCCATTTTGATTGAGACTAAGGTGCTTATGGTGGTGGTGAACTGAAATTGCATTGAACTCTTTCGTTCATTTAACAGTTTGTTTGTTTTGTTTGTTTTTTTTTTTTACATTTCTTCGTCTGGCAAGTGGTGAATGAATTTTCAAGATGTTGCGCTTATTATATCATTTTGAATTTTTGTTGTCTAGCAAAATTTTGCATGGTCAAAAAATTAATTTTGCCTACTTTACGTAGTGTTTTCTCTAGTGCGATTGTTAAGCATTTATATATATCATTCCTATACAATTGCCATTTCTCAGAGGAAAATTCGAGTATTATATTGTACAACCATATGTGGACCTCTAATATCATGATACGAAGGAAGAAGGGATCGGCAACCTGTGTCTTTTACTTCCTCAATATTACTTGGTTTGGATCTTCTCAACTAGAATATCATTTCAACAATTACAATAGTTTTAGTTACCCTTCCATTACATTACAGTGAACACCTTGTAAAAACTGTTCTGCAGAAATGGCTTTTGTCTATTTTAAAGTGATTCTGCTTATGGAACAATTCTTTTAGATCATAAGATGCTCTTCCACGCTCCTGAAGCATGCAAACTCTCTTTCAATTTCAGAACTGCAGTTGAGACGCACTCTAGAATCATTTTTGCTGGGGTATGGAACACACTCATCTCTTGTATCACTGCTGATATCAGTGTATGTGTCTTGTGACCACCTCGATCCTGCTTGTCAATTCTTAATGAAATCCCGTGTTGGGATTTTGATTTGCTCTCTGCCAATATGATCATTGCAAGTTTTATGAAGGTTGGAGAAATAGATATTGCCCAGAGGGTGTTTCATAAAATGCACACTCAAGATGTGGTCTCATGGAACACAATGATTGGGGGTTATGTCAGAAATGCATGCTTTGAGGAGGCATTGGATATGTTCAGGAATATGTTGAACTCAAACATAGTACCAGACGGATTCACTTTTGCATCCATTATAACTGGATGTGCACGACTTGGAGCTCTTGATTGTGCTAAGTGGGTACATAATTTAATGTTTGAGAAAAGAGTTGAACTAAATTACATTTTGTGTTCTGCACTAATAGACATGTATTCAAAATGTGGAAGAATTGAAACAACAAAAGCAATATTTGACAGTGATTGACATACTGATGTGTCTGTTTGGAATGCGATGATTAATGGGCTAGCAATTCATAGCCTTGCTTTCGACCCAACTACAATATTCTCGATGATGGAGGTGGAAAATATTTTACCTGATTCTATAACTTTTATGGGAACTTTAACAGCATGTAGTTGGGTTGGTTGAACAAGGTCACAAGTATTTTAATCTCATGAAAAGGCATTTCTCAATTGAGCCACAACTTGAGCATTATGGAGCGATGGTTGATCTCTTGGGCCGAGATGGGCTCCTAGAAAAAGCTTGTGCAATGATTAAGGAAATTCCAATGGAGCTTGATGTTGTTATTGTAAGAGTAGTTAGCATATTTAGATTTAGAGGTAGCTTAGTCATTTTTCTTCTTTTATATTGCCCTAGCTTCATTTGTTTGTTTTCTTTTTGCCCTATTATATAAAGACCTTTTATATGTAGTTTTCTTTTAAGGTTGTTCTGGCTAGTTATGCCTCAATAATTTTTGTTTCTTCTAATTTCTTTCTTTATTATTTGATCAAAGTTTACATGGTATCTGAGCATGGTTTTGATCCAAAATATATTGTAGTACCATAGTAATTTAGTTGGAGAAATAATATATTCTTGGATTAGGGTTGACATCATCTATGGCGATTTACTTTTTGTTGCTATTTTTTTTGGTTTTAAGGGCTGTGAACAGTGCCAAAATTACTGTTCACGCTCTGTGAACAGTACCAAAGTTACTATTCATACTGTGAACAGTGCCGAATTTTGATATTTAGTGTCATTTTTGTTGTAGTGTTGTGTAAGAAACCTCAATTTGTTATGCGTTTTTGATTTGCAAAGTTGTTGAGTTGATTTGTGACGAACTTTGGATTGTTTTGGCGTTGGATGCTTCTTTTGGTTCTAGTTTTGCTCTTGGTTTCTACTGGTTGGCTTTTGCTGGTGCCTTCTTTTTTCTGTTTTGTGATTAGATTTGTGCTCCCTTGTGTGTCAGTTGACTGTTTTTGTGCCTTTGTTCCTAGGTCTTACTCGCTGAATCAATTGTTGCATAGATTGCTAGTTCTGCTTGTTGGGTTTGCTGCCTTTTCTCTTTTGCTAGTGCTTCTTGTTGTTGGGTCTTCCCTGCTAAACTAGTTATTGCTGGTTTTTTTTGTTAGGCAACCCCAATCCTTTGAGTTTGTTGATTTGAGCTTCTTTCTGTTGGGCTGTTGGTTTAGTTTTTCTTCTCTTCTTTGTTGGACATTATTGCTGGTGGTTTTTTGTTAGGCAACCCCAATCTTTTGGATTTGTTGAGTTGGGCTGCTGGTTTGACTTTTCTTCTCTTCTTTGTTGGGCTTTTTTTTGTTGGGGCATTGTTGCTGGTAGTTTTTGATGGGTAACCCTAATGCTTTGGGTTTGTTGATTTGAGCTTCTTTCTGTTGGACTGCTGGTTTGACTTTTCTTTTCTTGTTTATTGGGCTTTGTTTTGTTGGACATTGTTGTTGGTGGTTTTTGTTAGGCTTTGGTTTTTTGTTGGATCCCTCATTGCTATTTGGGCCTTAATTTGTTGAGTCTACACTTGGAGTTTTTGTTGAATTTATTATTTTCTTCCTCTAAATCTCTAAAACTTTGTGCTTACTTTGATGCGGTCTGGGCTAGTGACTCTATGGATCGCAAGTCCACTATTGATTTCTGTCTCTTCCTTGGTAGTTCTCTTATTTTATAGAAAAGAAAGAAACATATTGTTGTGGCTTAATCATCTGCTAAAGCTGGGTATAATGCTATGACAGTAGAGATAGTTTTGTTGCGTTGGCTACTTGCTGATCGTTTCTTTACGAAATCTCACATAATCGTGCGCTTCCAATTTTCTTCTTAGCAAACTCTTGATGTTTGATATTACCACATCATAAGTTTGAGGGAGGGTGTTAGAGTAGTTAGCATATTTAGACTTAGAGATAGCTTAGTTATTTTTCTTCTTTTATGTTGCCCTAGCTTAGTCTGTTTATTTTCTTTTTGCCCTACTATATAAAGACCTGTTATATGTAGTTTTTCTTTAAGATTATTCTGGCTAGTTATGCCTCAATAATATTTCTTTCTTCTAGTTTCTTTCTTTATTATTTGATCAAAGTTTAGAGTTATATAGAGGGCATTTCTCAATGCTTGTAGAATTCACAAAAATTCTAAGTTGGCTAAAGTTGCCATTGCAAAAATATCACATCTAGGTAGTGGGGATTATGTATTGTTGTCAAATATCTATTGTTCTCTAAGGAAATGGGAAAGTGCTGAGATAGTCAGAGATATGGTGAAAAAGAAAGGAGTTCGTGAAAAGGACGGAAGAAGTTGGATTGAATTGCATGGTGCCATTCATCAATTCAAGGCAGGCGATCTATCTCACCCTGAAACAGAAGGCATATACAAGTTGTTGGAAGGACAGATCTGTCGAGCCAAAATGGTGGGATTTATCCCGATGACAGAATTAATTTTGATGGATACATCCGAGGAGGAAAAAAAAGGAAAATTTGATTTATCACAATGAAAAGTTAGCATTGGCCTATGGCATCCTAAAATCAAGCCCAGGAAACTGAAATCCAGGTTTCTAAAAACTTCCGGATTTGCCTTGACTGCCACTGTTGGACAAAAATTGTCTCGAAGGAATTATACAGGGTGATAATTGTGAGGGACCGGGTCCGACTTCATCGGTTTGAAGGTGGTTTCTATAATTGTGGAGACTATTGGTAGTCAATTTTGGGAGGTGCTTACTTGGTAGAGATCTGGTATCATGGAAGTTGGAATATTAGGATGTGATATTTAATGCCATGCTAAGGGGAACATTAGTTTCTTCTGTCTATAATCAACATGTATTTAGAGATGTCTAATCTAGTCTTTTGCTTGTCAATTGGAGGGAAATATTTGAGCTTAGTTTCAATATTGGGGTGTCATGCTTCTCTGCGACTCAAGACAACATATTCCTTGGAAACTTCTTGGCAAATTATAAGTGTTTTTTTTTGGCACATCTGAAACCTTACAGTAATTTGCAAATGCAGTTTCTTGAAGTATGGTGGTAATTCGTTTTCAAATGAAAAGTGGAAATATGTTCAGCTTCATTCCAACCACAACTGAATGAAGCCATTATTCAATATTGCGGTAGTGTAGGCTTAGTCAATGGGGAACAAATATGACGGTGATAATTAGCTATTGTTGAGGTGGATGCACAAGCAGGATGGAGTGGCCACAGTTTTTTTGTACCGAATTCGATTACAGAGGGTCTGTCTATGTATATGGAAATACTGTTGAAGTCAAATGAAACCACAAATTATCAACGGACAAGGTGTGTTCATAACTATGCGTTGCCTCTCGTAATTCTAAAGTATCTTCTTGGTCTTACCAAATTGTAGTTATCTACTAATGTTGATTGTTCGTTTTATTTTATTTTGATGTGTTCAATTCAGATTACATACATGCACACTAAGCTTCCCCTTTGGCTGAGTTTCTTTTGAAACCATGTTAGTTTGAATAGCATATGATACTAGAGGCTTGTTAAAAAGAAAAACTATTTTGAGCTGAATTCATTTAACGCCTAGAGAATTTTTTGGTAAAAAATATGTAACGTAGTTCTCCTAAATTCATAGCTATTGCTTCCTCAGCATCCCCCTCCCTCCAACAAAAAAAAAAAACCTTTTTGCTGTTTAGGGAATATAGTTTTCCTTTTCTTCTTGATTACCAAATTCTCAGAGTGTACCTTGAAATATTGAATAAAAAATTTTTGTCAATCTTTTACTTACCCAAGATTTGAATCTCTACCCTTAAGTACTTTCCTGCATGCAGGATGAGATAAGTTTTCCTTTATATATCTGCGTATGCTAAATGATCATGGGCTAGCTAACATTTTAAGGTAAACGTGTTTGGTTGACCAACAAGCCCATAGAAATTGGTCAGTTTGTTAATTTGCAAAATGATATGACAACATGCATGTTACTATTGCCAGATCATGTGTGGTGAGTTTTCTGATAACCCTTTGTTGGCTAAATTTCCAAGGTTTGACCTCCTAGCAGTTGGGGGCTTTAAAGAACTTCCAAAATCGGATACTGGTAGTGCAACTATGGACCATTTACCCCCTTGTAATTGCAGCAAGTGCACATAGCCTACTTTATACTGACAAACAACAGGTTGTCTCTTGATCCTCAATTGTGCTGAACACGTCTAATGGCAAGCATGTTATTGTCCTCGTCTCCTTTAAGCTGTCATCTCCGGAAGTGGTTGTGGGTGCCTGCGTCTCTCAAGTGGCAAGGGGAAATGGCTTTCATCAACTGCCTGATGAAGAGGACATTGAGTTTCTAACATTGTCGACAGCTCGAGGTTGTGTCCCTACTCCCTAGGTAACATGAAGGAGTCAGCTAGATGAAGAACTTAAAAAGTGGCTCCCTTAAATCATGTTTGCATTATCAAATTGCTGGCAATTGTGAAGAGATACACCATAAACCATCCTGAAGGTTTCCAGTTGACATTTTCTTAAGGTGAGAACGTGTTGTTGATTGTCAATAAGATAAGGCTGATCTGAGGATGACTTTATTCTAGCAGAACAAGTTACTAAATTTTTCGGAGGATGTCCCTCCTTGCTAATTTAGTTTTCGTCTGAGGCTTTGAGCATTTTAAATTGACCTTTGTTGAGCATGCAACTACAAAGGTTTGCTAGAGATATTTCTTCGGTCATTTCTGCTCATGAATACTGCTTTTGGACTAAGCAAAGCATATTGACAAATTCTATAATATTTTCACCTTCAAACATGGTGGAAGTGCATCCTAACGTTGAATGCAGAATTTCAGTTAAACATTCGTGACACTTCTTGGAATCTTCCATTGTTTTGGGGAACTCCTCTATGCAAATTTGCACCTCCATGATGTTGGCTCTCAATGGGAAGCCATTTTGGACCCTCCACGAATTTGTTTCTAGGAAATGCTTTCATATTGCGTTGGGTTGTAGTGCTGGGGTCCTTTTTCTGGACGCTGTCTTTGTTCCTATTATAAAAATTGCACCTCTTTTGGATGTGCTCTAAATTTTTAGGAGCTGATCCTCTTCTTGACCATGCTCCGACCAGGTCGATGGTAAGCTGTGACATGCGGTAACTACGTAGATCAACATCATTAGCACCCAAACGGAGGACCCTCGTGGGCGGAGACAAATATGCAGTGTTATTCATTTCCCAGGAAATTATATTAGAAGCTAGTGCTGTGGTGCTCATGTTCTTGTTTCTTCTCTACATCCAAGCACAAAAAATCTTCTCACTACACTTCACCATGGGTACCACTCTTCTCTAATTCTACTTACCTTCTGATTCCTTTTAAAATTATCTTATCATGAATTTTGATGGAATCGATTATGTTTAAGTTGGGTTCTTACTACTAGACGGTAATTTATTAGATTTATAAAGAACTTAAAACTAGGGAGGAACCAAATGTACCAAAACGTCGGATTTGGATCTCTCTGCAACACGCTTTTTTTTAATTTCACTTAATAAGAGATCACCCACCATAAATACAAGTAGGACTTAAATGTATATAAAAGGGTGCACCACTATACAACTAATAAGATATAATACCAGGAACCAATTCATTCTACAGACACCAAACCTATAAATTTATACATAATTGCATCCTATTAAGCAAAATAGGCACAATGTCTCCCACAGCTGGGCCATCCTAGACTTAAATCCAAGACCTCTCCCAAGAAGTAAATCATTGCACCTCTTGTAGATAAGTTTAAACTCTTATTGAAAGAGTTCATGCCAATAAAGGGTTAAAAAAAAATCGTAACACACAAAGCTCCCGCCCATTTCAGGATTAAGTCAGAGCTAAGCTGATCCTCAAGACTGGCAAATACAGAAGAATAGCACTTTCAAAGGCAAGGCAAGTTTTCCAATTAGCTGTCTTGGATGGGAACCAATGCCATTTTGCCTCCATAAATTTCTGGAAGTTGGCTCTCGTCGATGTCTTTGAGCAAAAGTTGATTTCAGTCGTTTATTTTCCACAAACACAATCTATATTAGCAGAAAAATACATAAATTTAGTCAACTGTAATCCTATTCCTTTTTTTGGTAAGTATCATAGTCCTATTCTTGTTTGCAACTAAAAATTTGTGCATGCTTAA